TTCACTCCATTCTTTGTGCTTATACTCCTAACAAGTGGTGTTGACTTTATGTTTAACTTTCTCTTTGACTTATAATGTGAATGCTATGGCATAGAATAATTAATTAGCTTTACTCAAAAGCATATATTGGTTCAATAATGATTCTTTGCTAGTTTCTATTTACCAAAGTTTAAAACCATAGACATAAGCAACCTTCTTATTGTCTCTATCTATAAAACATGAAACTTTATGAACAAGTTGAGATTGGCCCATTCGAAGCATGTGTTGTGCAACCATAATGACTTTCAAACTAAAGATGCATAAATTCTATCTAGATGAAGTCAAATAAGTATTGATTATGGGTAGAACTCTTATTAATACTGAAGTTACCTATAGTCACAACTAATTTTGCATAATATGTACTTTTATTGCAAGACACACAAATCTTGATCATTTTTATAGGTGGGATTATGATTAATACAAAAGTTAACCATAGTCGAAACTAATTTTCCATAAATATACTTTTATTGCTAAGAGAGAGGCTTGACGTCCAGGGCCACATGGGCCCTGCACGTCCATGGTGCCCCCTTATAGGTCCTTGTCTGTCCAGGGCACATGTGGCCTTGGACAAGGGACTTTCCCATGTTACTAAATAATAATATCATCTAAAAGTTTACATTGTCAGAAAATAATCAAATCTATATTCATCAGAAGTTTGACATATACACAATTTTGCTCGACAATGAGAATGGACCAACAATTTTTATCTTTTCAGTTTTCGTATTAAATCACATTGTCTAAAGTTTTAAATTGTTAAAAAGGTATTTAGTTTACCTCTACAACATATACATTCATGTGTCCTCTCTCTTCTCTCTAGTATGTGGTCGTGTTCGTATAAAAAAGTGAGATGATTTGTATGCTTGGTGTTGACGAGATAATTAAGCAATGAAGTTGTATCCTTTAATAATATCTGCACAATTAGGTTATATTCTATTACATGTAATTTTCTTGAAAGCACTCTTTACACATGCTGACAATTAGGATCACTTATTAACTAAGTAATATTTGTCTTTCTTTCACTTCAACTTTCACCTAATTAAAATATTTCTAAGATATTTTTATTTAAATTATCTTCTTGTTTGTTAATCTCACTCCCTAGGTCACTATCCATGCAATTTTAATTATGCCTTAAAAGAATAAATTGCTTTGTGGATAACTTAAAATCATCGTCGTCCGGGCTTCTGTCCCTAACCTCAAAAAGTAAAATTGGAATCTTGATTTAGATATTTTTGTTATCTTATTGTTATTTTTTAACTTTTTATTTAGGACAGTCGCTCAAGATCAATATTTATGCCATATGTATATTACCTACAAAATTTTTGTAAATACGACCTCAATCAAGAACTCGATCCCTTCCCTAATAATTGGGACGGTGATCGATTTCATTCTAACTGTTAAATTAGTATTAAGCCTCGTACATGGACAAGCTTTGTTTGTCTAATTAAATCTTATTCTTTAGCCTTTCCTCAATCTTGTATATTTTTAAGACAATATAACTCGCCCCACGTTGTTACACCAAAACGTGCTAATGTCAATTCATGAAGAATTATTAAAAAGTGTACTTGGGCAAAAGATACATCAATCAAGCCTGATCTTGAGGGTAATTTAAAGGATGGGAAAAGATAAAAGTGATTAAATAAATAGATAGACGAGGTAGAGGGTGCTTAAAGATGCCGTAATACTTCCAGTGAGATAATTGTACCATAATCTATGGAAAAATAAAACTTTTCTATAGTCATTTATTGCAATTTTGAGTAAATATATCAATATAAATTAGATTCTAATAGTTTTGTAATGTACTAAAAAATTGAGATCTAAATTGTAAGGTAAAAAAAATTAATGGTAAGTTGATAATGATATCACTGAAAAAAGACAACGCATATTTTCCAGTGCTCTAAAAAGTAATGTCTAGGCGCGTCTAGGCAGCGGGCGCAAAACGTCCCATCCCACCTCGCGCTTTTTCGTGCTTCTTTTTTGCGTCTAGTCAGGCTTTTCTCACACTTTTATGTTTTTTTACGCTTTTTTTAATTATTAATTTTTAGATTGATTTAAAAATTTTAAATATTAATAAAATAAGAAACATTTATTTATTTAATTTAATTTTTTTTTTATGCTTAGATTTGCCTACCTCGAAGATTGACCTCCACATCTCACCACGCTTTACGTTTTTAAGAATGTTGATATTTATAATCATCTCATAGAAAAATTTAATCTGTTAAATATAAATCATTTATATTCAATTAAATCTTATCTTCAACAAAATACATCATTACTTCTTTTTACCTCAACTTCTATAACTATTTTAAATGTATTCTTAACTTGACAGTCGTGAAAAAAGATTTAGCTCTAGTTTGGTGCAGATTAAGATCAATTTTTTAGTAGATTTTGCTAAAATTTAATGAAATATGTAGTTGAAAAGTAATTTATCATATGAAATATATGGTTAAAATTAATTATTAACTTTAACTTAAATTAAAATCTAGATTTTAATACCTCTAAACAGAGGGCCTTATAAATTCAAAATGCAAGATTAATATGTTGAAGAACAATTTTGTTTGATAAAAAAATTAAATAGAGCAAGACGATCGCAAGTTGTGATATATATATATATACACACACACACTCAAATGGCATTTTTAACTTATTAGACGAGCCATCTTACGAGCTAACTCATTCGAACCAAAGAAATCGCTATCAAAGAGAGGCGAGACGACAAATAACAAACCTTCAATTGGTGCGTTCAATAATATTAATAGAATCTTATAGCAGCCTGGGGCCTATTTAATGTTTGAATGTGATTTTTTTTTTTATTTAATATGTGCATAATTTTCAATGCTTATTGTGCAATCTGCCCTATTCATATAGTTTTTCTTAAATTACGTTCAGTGTAAGCATATTCTGTGCCGCCGACATTTATATATTCAATGAAAATTATTCAATATTTAAGGATGCATTTGATTTGCTATTTTTGAACTTTCAATTTTTAATTTTGTAAATTACAAAAAACATGTTTGTTCTGATATTGTAAATAATAATTAAAAGCTTGATTTTTTTTTTATAATTTTTATATTTTATTTTTTTAGAAATTCAGATTTTATATTTTCAAAATTTATATTTTTTAAAATTTTATTTGTTAGAATTTTATATTTTTAGTTTAAAAATTTTATTTAAACGCTTATTTTCCATTTTTTGAGCATTTTCATATTTTTCATTGAAAACACTCAAAACTTCAAAAATGCATTTTTAAGTTTTATAATATAAATTGAACATTGTTTACAAATATGAAAATTATGAACACGTATAAAAAAAAATTCTTAATCCACGTCATTATTTTTATTATTTCCTATATTTTGAACTCAATTTATTATTTATTTTTATTTTACTTTTATAGCGAGGAAAATATATTGTATGATTCACCAACTTAAAATATATATATTACTTGATAATATATTAATATAAAATTGTTCTATTTTATTGAATAATCAAATTTTACGAAATAAAATGTTATAAAACAATTTTTCAAAATTTCAAACCAAACGTGTTTTCTTGTTTTCTATTTTGAGAAATAATTTTTGAAAATGACAACCAAATGCGTTTTTAATAATCTTAAAAAGGACCCTCAAAACAGAAAATTGAAAATGAACTCTAAATTCATAATTGAAAATTGAAAATTGAAACACAAATCAAACGGGCCCTAAGTAGTTGCTAGTTGCATGAAAATTTCAATTATATTAATACTTATAAAGATTGATAACTTGTTTACACGAAGTGATGATGCCTTTGATGGTGGAGCAGACTCCTTGTAACAAGTAAAGAATATCGCTTATACATTCATTTTTTGTTAGCGGTGTGAGGCCACTTCATCTTTGGCTAATGTTTATCAATTATTTATAATCGATCAAATCATATTCTATCCAGATTTCACGATATTCATAAGTACTTTTAACTTATTCACTATTTATTTTTATATATTTATAGTTTAAACCGATTATAACAACTCCAAAACATGCCTGATTCTTTAACACTAGGATAGTCAAATCTTCTCGAACCCACCTATATCAAGTTTTTGGGGTATCTTGATATTCATGTCCGATCGCACCGATAAATTGTTTTCGACGAAATTAAAAAAGACGTGCGATAGAATTGTAACCATCGAATATGACTAATCGAAGTGTGTGCATATGTCTCGTGCACCATGGGGATGACTACAAGAGATAAGTTTCACATTGAACTGGGAAATGCATACATATGTTTCTTTCAAGTACGATCGAACTTTTTCAGATAAATTTGCAACGTAATCTCTCACATCCCCTTTATAAGGGTCAAATTGATCTTATTTTGAACATTAGAAGTCCATTACTATTCAATTTGAGTCGAGTCTAGTCAAGCAATCTCGGTTGAGATCCAGCCAAAAATTAGAACGGCACAATCCACTCAAATCAAGTCTCCTCAAATGCACTAGACTACACATTGTTCCCGCTAGCCATAGTTTGGCCTACATTTTAGTTCCGATATCATGTCACACAAACAACTTAATTAAATTTAATTACTATCTTGGAATAAATAAGAGAAAAAACAATTTATTTATTTATTAAAACATATTTATGTAGTTTCAAGCTTGTGGGTGCATGCTTGCATCACAAATGACTAATGCTTTCATAAGCAATCACCAAATAGAGAAATATAGTTCCTTAGCTTTGTGGTACTAGACAACTACTAAATACCTATCATAGCACAAAAAAGCCAAAAGGTCTACTCACCAAAAAGAAAGAAAATGCTCAAAGCCCCCCACCTCACCCAACCCAACCCCACCCACCCTAAATACATATTTTCTTTATGTGCAGTGCAATGCAGTGCATGTGGGTAGCTGTGCATGGATTTCTTATTTCTTGATTTTACGTTTCATTATGTGAAAATTGTTGGTAAAAGTTGCAAGTTAACTTAGGTTATCAAAAGATATATCATCCAAAGTACAAATTCCCTTAATTAATTCCATCGTAACAATATTGAATTAATTTTCTACGACATTTTTAGAAAACAATAACATTGGAAATATCTATAAAAAAAAGCTAGCTAGCCATCATCTTAATTAGATCCTAAAATTAAATTTTTGGATCTAATTTGGCAAACTAATTTCATCGAGATCATCCAGCGACAAGAAAACTTCATCCAAGCATGAAAGCTCCATCCCATCATCATTGTCATTGTCACCATTACTCTCGTACACTCGACACACCACCCATTTACTGTAATCCTACAAGAAAATATATAACTCGCAATTAAAATAAAATAAAATAAAATAATTCCATGTTAGCCACATTACTTCAATTATATAAATATGCACTTACTATTTTGGAATTTCTTCTTCTTGATGATCTACTAGTAGAAGAAGAGTCTGAAATGCTATATTCCTGCATTATCCAATTTGTTTTGGCATCTTCACCAATGTGAAATGCATAATATTTCTTCATCCCAACCTTTTGGTTAGAACTAGCGCTGTAAATTGGTTCATCAATCCCTATAGCTTGCCAATATCCGCTGCCAGTAATTCTACTCTGTGTTCTTCTGCTGTAAAAGTACCATTTGTTCCCTTCAGCCATTGCTTTACCTACATGACATATATACATTAGAAAAACAGATTTAAAAAAATAATATATCCATTATTCGCTATCAACATAAAGTTTTTAGATAAGCTCGTTCAACATGGTATAGGCTGATAGGGGCGGAGCCGCTGCACGGCCAATGAGACCATTGGGTTTGAAGAAAAATATAATCAATCAGATTTTTTGATTGAACGACACACAAACAAGAAAATAAAAGAAGAAATTAAGAGGGAAGGCTTGTATTGGAAAAATTACAATATTTTCAATATTCGAGTCTCATTGCTACCCCATTTATGAAAGATAGAAAAAGAATATGGCTGGTGAGTGAGGAGAATATAGAAGACTAAAATGAATAAGTGAACGCGAGATGAAAAATATTGGAATAAGAATTGGTTTTACCCTCTAAGTCCCATGGATCGTAGGGATGAAGATCAAGATCCGGAATGACATCAGGATGGCAAGGCAAGATTGCTGCTTTTCTGTGAAGGAAATGAACTACGAGTTCTTCATCAGTAGGATAGAATCGAAAACCCGGTGGGAGATTCACATTGTTATCCCCCATCAATGATCAACCTGTCAAAATGAAGAAGAAGTAAGAATATAAGTATTTATACTTAGGAATATATGAAGAAATGATAATACGACTGTACCGGTAGAGAATGATATATTTATAGGGATTAAAAAGAGGAGAGAGAAAAGGATTGACGTGAGAGAGAAGGGTGGGTTCGTGTTGATCACCAGCACCATCAAGATTCAAACATGCTCTTCTTTATTTGGTGTTTTTGGCATTTAAAAATGGTGGATCATGGAAGCTGCTCTAAACGGGAACGTTGGATACTTTTCAAGCAACGGATTTTCTTCATATAGGACGACGGTTCGGGGTGAGGTTGGGGTTAAGTATATAAATTATCCTATTGGACATTGTGTAAAGTGATTTCATTGTCACATAAACACCCATCAGATCATGGACGAATTCAAGATTGAAAATAAACTTTCAAGTTGGACTAATGTATAAAAATAAAAATTCTATACACAAAAAGAATATTTTTCACATGGCAAAAATAAAATGGGCTAGGAACTGGATCATGCTGTAGTATGGCCCAGTCACCCTATATCTGTCATTGACACCAATGATGTTGAATAACGTTACTTTAAGAGTATTTGTATACGCATATATTTTTAAAACTTGGAAATAGGGTTCTATACGTGTATTTGTTTGATGAGGGAACATGACTTTGCGGTCCCTAACTTATTTAGTTAGCCTTAAATCCTTAACATTACTGAACAACTTGTTATCAAAGACAGAATTGTACAAATTTTCATGAGATCTTCTATCAGGACTTATGTTTGTTGCATATCTTGATTTACTATTGCACAAATGTATTTGCTGCTGTAGTTTGAGCAGTGATGAGTGTCCCCTCTTTTCATACCTTTAATCCAATAAGTATTGATCGAGGATCAAGAATCATGGAATCATGTACATTTTGGAATCATTGCAATGGTACAACTGAGACATGCTTAAACTTGAATAATCTCCTTTGGTGTTCTAACATGAACTAATCCATTTCTACGTGACCCATTTCATTGGATGTTATGCGATTTTCTTAAACATGTCTTCGAACATTTTAGGCATTGCTTCAAGTTCGCAAATAAAACCTAAATTTATAAAGTTGGACATGTTAGTGTCACATAACAATTGAATAGAGACTCTGATATTGGAGACGGTTTTGCATTTATGTATGAAACGTTGGTAACCATCTTGATCTTTTTAAAGGTTGAATATCAATTTTGTAATTGTACAATTGGTTGAGGACCGATAATGCAATCTTCCCATTTGATGCTGGGTTATGACCTCACACTTCATGCTTATATCATCCACCTCGTGGCCCGTGCCATTGAATGTCATGGATGACTTTGAGTTTAGTTTGTGGACCGTAGGATCTAGGTGGAAGGACCCACGTAATGATAGTGCCCATAAATAAGAAAATTCATAATTAGATGAAATTAACTGGTCCGTATAATTAATAATTACATGCTTAGTTTTGCAATTTTTTAATCCTATAATTTTGTTTCATTAGTATTTTTTTTCCCTATACGAAGGTGTGGAGATTGACATCTGCCTGTTTATAAATTTAGAATCAATTAAATTTTGATATCAGTGTTGATTTTCTTGATTGAATGTTTATTCTTTTGTAATCAAGATTAATTTGGAATTTACACATTGTTTTCAACTTCATAGGATCCACTCATCTTGGATAATGAGTGGATTTACCACAATCTACATCAACCAATAGGAGATAATGTCTATCTCAAATTTTCAATTAAATGTATGTACACGTATATTTCAGATATACAAGTTCATATTTTAAATAATAACACTAGCAAAGTTGTAATTCCAAGCACGGCTTGCGACTTTGGACAGGCCGTGTTTGGTTGAGCTCAAGAAATAAAAAGCTCAGTGAAAGTCGTGTTGGTCAGAGCAAGTCACCGAACCCAACAATTATCTTTTTCAATTTGTAGTTAATTTTTTAGGGGAAAAAAAATTTAAAATGCTCTCGTGGGCTGCGATCTTTGAAGCGACAACTAGCATGACTCGTCTCTCCAATTGAGTCTGGTTGGATCAGGTCAGATCATGCCGAATGTAGGCTGGACCAAGCATGGGTTGCTTGTCAAACTTCACACAACTAGTTGTAGCACAACTAATGTTATGCAATGGATGCTCTTTGCCCATGCCATCCAATAGCTGTTAAAATTGGCATTTTCTGCAGGAAATTCGGTATAATTCCAACAATGGATATGTAACACATACATACAATGTTCTGAAAGGCGTAATGCATGGTGATGCGTGGAGACCAAACTATGGGCTATGCGAGATTAGGCGTAAAAAGGTGTTTTCTTAATTTAATGTTAGTTTAATTTTTAATAAATCAACAAATTATTTAATAATTAAAAATAATACTTGCTAAACATTTAAAACAAATTTATAGGAATGTTATACATTTTTTCAAAGTTTCAAACAAAAAGATAAGTTTCAAATTTAAATACCAAATAGTAAATAAATAGCATAGAAACTTAAATCTTAGCTAACTCTTTATCGGATTCTAATTCAATATTCTCTTCTTCATCTAATTCGTCCTCCGTGTCTTCCGATGCAAGTGGTTGTTTTAAATTAGGGCAAAATGAAGAAATTAGCCATCGGCAATTTTTTAACGACACAAAAATTTAAAAAAAAAATAAAATTCAAAAATGATGATAATGTGCGCATAATTGTGCCTAGGCGTGCCTTAGCGGTCAACGGCAATAAGGCGCCAAGCCAAGTGGCTTGGCGTTTTGACCGACCATCATGCCTAAGTGGCGCCTAGACAGGTCTTAGCGCTTCCTTTTAGAACACTGCATATATACAAGTATAGAAGTTCACAATAGGGAATACACATATAATAAGAAAAAGCCCACAAGTGTAAAACAAAAACAACGAATGTGTTAATGTGGGATGGGTGGGAATGGAAAGAAAATCTAGCAAGATGCTCATCAGCAGTCACAATCTTTCTATTATTATGTACTGCTACATTTGCTCTAAAAACGGTAAAGGACTAATCTTTTCATCCTTACTCAGCACTTACTCATATATATTCAGTTTGGTGCATGTCCATTTCACAGCCAAACCAAGTGCTAACAATTACCATTCATTTGATATCAAGCAGTATCGAGAAACGAAAATAATTCAATATCTTATTCATTATTTTGTCCAATCTTGTACTTACCGAACTTGTGTTTAAGGATTTAAACAAAGTTTGTGAATCCTTATCCAAGGATAGGTTTAATGACACACAGATCTCTGTCTAGCCATGGTTTATTTGAGGTGGACTATGTATTCAAGGGATTAGTAGGATTGTTGTACACCCCAAGTCACGAGCTTTATTTTATTTAGAGCCTGTTTGAACCCGATTTTTTGTTCAAAAAGTATTTTGATAGAAAATGTGTGGTTAATAAATAAAGAAAAGTTACAGGTTTGCGAGTAATATTTATTTTATTGAATAATATATGATTCAAAATAAGAGGGAGAAAAATGTATTTTGAAAATAATGAGAACCAAACAATGGCTTAGTTTGGAATGTTCTAAATTGAAGATATTTCTAGAGATCCCCACCAAAAGAAAAAATTGGTTTGTATTTCTAGTCATAAATGGCCACTTGATGCTCATAGGGATTGGAAAACATATTCTAGGAGGTTGGAAATTACAATCGAGTGTGTTACGCTCTCAAGCGATGAGACAAAATGAAGGTCTTATTAGTAGAAATTTCAAATAAGTCGGGACATGAAGGTCTTATAAGGTAGAAATTTCAAATAAGTCAAGGCCTCGTAGAAGTTATGAGGGATTAAGCACCCGAATCGACTAGATAAAGTTCGTTGATATGAGTTAAATTGAGTAGAAAAATCCACCACTGTCAACATTGAACTCAGTCTCAACATTTGCTAAAGAGAGAGTGTCTTGGTGAATAAATTATTCCAATAACTAAACTTGTAAGTGCAGACCAAAAGCATACAGAAGAATAAAATAGAAATAAGACTTTGGTAAATTGTGGCAAGAGTTCGACTTTTGTCCTTGAGGATGAATTGCCTTGCACCTCACTACTGAGAACAAAATAAAGGCGACTCAAAATTCAGATTTATTTATATTCTTAGAAAGTGTCTATTCAAGGTTAAGTGGCAATCGTCTTTTAAAATACAACGATCTCTTATTGTAGCAGCACTTCAAAACACAAGAAGCACAAACCAAATATGTGTCTCGTACTCTCTTTATGGAGGATTAATGCAGAATATCTTTAGTATATGCAGGATAGAATGACAATGAATGAAAGATGATTGGAATGATGAATTCTGCAAATAAGAGGTTCATGTTGACTTCAAAAAATGGAAATTATTTTTTAAAGCTAAAGGTAAAGTGCTCTGTTAGAAATTTGGCGAGAATCTTCTAATTTTAGTGGGGGTTCAACGTTTGTTTAGGAGCCAACTGCAGAAAAGGAGAAAGATGGGGATTCCAATGTTAGTTTGATTGGAACGTGCCCTTCGATCGGAAAATGTATTAATTTTTGAGAGTGTCAACTCTTTATTTATCTTGATTCAAGACGACTTGTTTAGAACGGAAGTTTGAATTTTAGATTTTTAACCTTTAGTTGTGCAATCGATTCTTTTTATAGGTAATATTATGACTTTTAGGTCATTTTAATGAGTTGACATTCCTTTATTGTTGTGTTGAAAGTCATGATTAAGTTTAATTTTTATGATTTTGTTGAAGTTTGGGCTTTTATGACAATTGTCATGCAATTCTTTGCGTGCACATGAGTTTATTGCAATGAAGTGTATTTAGATTGTGCCAAATTTCGTAGCATAGACTAGTCTAAGGCCTTTAATCGTGTTTTTTACCAAGTGTTTGGACTCTACAGGTTTCGTTGCTAAATGGTGATACGATGGTTGAGGCACCTTCGCTTCAACTATGCCTCGACGACAGTGGTACGAATATTCAAGAGACGAAACCAATTGCAGCTGCCATGGAGTTCCAAAAGACAATTTTTGAAATATGCTAGAATAATCTACTCATGAATATACTAAATATACTAAAATAATTTACTCATGAATAGAACACGTTCAACCTTCAAACTTTTGTAATCAACTAATCAATACCGTTTAAATATTTGGTTAAAATTGATCAAAGGCAATTTTTACTAATCAATTTCCCACAAAGCAAACATATATTGTTCGAAAGTTATACAATCTAACATGAAACCCTAAAATTAGAAACTTTTGAAGTCACCCTAACGTATTTTACAGCTAAAC